AAAAAAAAAAAAAAAAAAAAAAAAAAAAAAAAAAGCACAGAAGAAAGTCTCTGCTATAATCAGCTTCCGAGGTTACTAAAACGACACGTGCTTTCTCTTCTCCTTCTCGAGAGGAGTAAATACGTGTCGATGAATGATAGGGTAAAAAACAATACTCCGTGGCATGCGCCGTAGATCTAATGGGTGAAAACTACTAGCCATGGAGCAAGATGATTCCTATGATGAAGAGAGACCTACTTAACGTATTTTCCGAACTGTTCTAAGGTTCTAAGAATCGATCATATCGTTATTTAATACCCACGATGCAGAGATTCAGTAGACAGCTCATTGGATAGTTTAAAAAACGATACGATGTGTATGCAACAGCATAATGTATAAACTCACTTCACTATGTAAAGCAGCGGTGGCAGTTAGGCGTTCAGCGGGGTCGATGGCGAGAAGCGTCTCGATTAGTGGCAGAGATGACGGCGGGAAGTCTTTAAACGTCTCTGCTATGCATCTCTTGTATGAATGTTGAGGCTTGAATATGGTTGCATGAGGCAACCTCGACTTTTTCCAGTATTCTTCTGTAGGAGAGCCACATAACTTGAATATCTTATGCAGCTGCTCAACCTGGGAGATCAAATATGGTAACAATCATGACAAAAGTGACAAAAGCCTAAGAAACATGAACTTATTTACAAGATCAAACGGCATTCGACGAACTGAAGACGGAACGAAACATGGATTGCTAACGAGCTTTACCTCAGTGCGACCGGGCATGATAGGCTTTCCAGCTAACAGCTCGGCTAAAATGCAGCCAGCGCTCCAGAGGTCTACACCGACGCCATAATCAGTAGCTCCAAGAAGAAGTTCAGGAGGTCGATACCATAGCGTAACCACCCTACTTGTCATCGGATGCTTGTGGTTAGGATCAAAGACAGACGCCAAACCGAAATCAGCTATCCTAAGGATCCCATCGTTATCGATCAGAAGATTCGATCCCTTTATATCACGATGCAGCACGTGACGGTTGTGACAATGTTCAAGCCCTGATAACAATTGGTTCATGTAACATTTAACCTGCTAAGTCCATTTGAAGAATTAGAGCTAAATACAGCATCCATTAACGAATCAGATCTCACAGATAGCAAAGAACTTCGTCGAGTAGCTTCGCACCTGCGATTCCGTAAACTTGATCCCGGGGCTCGCAGCAAGTCCAGCCAGATCGTGCTCCATGTATTCAAATACAAGATATAAACTACACGACATCCGGGACGTCACCAAACCTTCGAGTTTAACAACATTTGGATGATCCAAACGCCGCAGAATGAGAATTTCCCGGGCCATAAACTTGACGCTCTCGGGCTCCAAATTGTCGAAACGAACCTTCTTCAGAGCCACAATCTTCCCTGTCAAAGAGTCCCTGGCTTTGTACACATTACTATACGTCCCTTGCCCAATCTGATCAACAACAACATTTACAAATTTGGGAATTCTGGTTTTGTTCATAAAAGGAAAGCAAAACTTGAACAGAACTGAAGCATAACTGAATCATGGCGATAAGAACATAAATGGAAACAGCCATTAAATTCCTTCTTCAACTCCAAACATAAACTCTGAACAATCGAACTTAGAACAAAAGGAAACTGTTGATGAGAGAAAGAGAAA